TTTCATTTAGTTGATTTTGACCTCTGATATCCTTTCTTCTGCTTCATCAATTCAGCTTGTTGAAACTTGTGTATGCTTCGCCAAGTTCTCGTGTTGTTTTTCAACTCCATCAATTCACTTATATTGTTTAAGTTAAACATTTATTCTCTTTCTTTTTTTTTTTTTTTTTTTGAGATGGAGTTTTGCTCTTCTTACCCAGGCTGGAGTGCAATGGTGTGATCTCAGCTCACTGAAACCTCTGCCTCCTGGGTTCAGACAATTCTCCAGCCTCAGCCTCCTGAGTAGCTGGGATTACAGGCATGCACCACCATGCCCAGGTAATTTTTTGTATTTTTAGTAGAGACGGGGTTTCACTATGTTGACCAGGATGGTCTCGATCTCTTGACCTCGTGATCCAACTGCCTCGGCCTCCCAAAGTGCTGGGATTACAGGCATGAGTCACTGCACCTGGCTAAGTTGTTTATTCTCATTAGCATTTCATCAGATCTTTTTTTCAAGGTACTTAGTTTCTTTACATTGGGTTAGAACATGTTATTTTAGCTCAGCAAAGTTTTTTATTATCCACCTTCTGAAGCCTGTTTCTGTCAATTCATCACACTCATTCTCCTTCCAGCCTTGTTCCCTTGCTGGTGAGGAGTTCTGATCCCTTGTAGGAGGAGAGGTGTTCTGGTTTGGGCGTTTTCATCCTTTTTGCGCTGGCTTCTTCCCATCTTTGTGTATTTATCCATCTGTCATCTTTGTAGTGGTTGGTTTTCAGCTTGGGTCTCTGAGTGGTCGTCTGGTTTGTTGATGATGAAGTTATTTATTTCTGTTTCTTAGTTTTCCTTCTAACATTCAGGCCCCTCTGCTGTAGGACTGCTGAGATTCTCTCCAGATCCTGCTTGCCTGGGGATAACCTACAGCAGCTGCAGAACAGTAAGGGTTGCTGCCAGTTTCTTATGCTATCTGTTTCCCAGAAGGATACCCGCCTGATGTAAGTCAGAGCTCTCCTTTATGAGGTGACTCTGGATTGAATTGGATTGGTCAGGGAGCTGCTTGAGAGACAGTCTGTCCTTTATAGGAGCTCAAGTGCTGAGCGGTGAGCTCCGTTGTTCATTCAGAGCTGCTGGACAGGTACATTTAAGTCTGCTGCAGCAGAACTCATAAACCTCCCCCTCTTTTGTTTTTCCCAGGTGCTCGTTCCGGGGACTTAGGGCTTTGTTTATAAGTTTCTGTCATGCTGCTGCCTTTTTTCAGGGCTGTCCTGCCCAGTGAGGAGGCAGCCTCTTCACTGTCTGCCTGCAGAGGCTTTGCGGAGCTGCTGTGGGCTCTGCTCAGCTGCCATGTGAACTTCCCTGCAGTCCTCTTTATATGGGTATAGTTAGAACTGCCTCAGCAATGGCAGCCCACCTCTGTAATCGTGGACTCTCTGTGTAATGGCAGGTTGCCTCAGCAATGGCAGGCTGCCTCAGCAAATGGCGGGCTGTCTCAGCAATGGTGGACTACCTCCATAGTAGTGGACTGCCTTGGTAATGGCAGATGCTCCTCCCCCACAGAGCTGGACTGTCGGGTTGATCTGTGTCTGCTGTGAAACTCTCAATCCAGAGCATTTCATATTGCTGTTTTTTTTTTTTTGTGGGGGTGGGACCAGCTGAGCCTGAACACCTGGCTCCCTGACTCAGATCCCCTTCTTTTTTTCAGTTGAAAGGGCAACTCTGTCTCCCAGGTGTTCCAGTTGCCTGTTTAAAAGGTGCCAGGATCTCTGTGATTTCCCATGCGGCAACCCACTGCACCAGCTGACACACCCTCGCTGAGATTCAGGGCGCTTTTCTGCCTGGGAATCTCCTGGCCTGGCTCCGTTTCAGTCCCATTTTTTATCAGATCAGTGGGCGACTCTGTCTCCCAGGAGCTCCAATCGTTAGCTAAAATGTCGCTAGGACCCGTATATTTTGTGCAGAGACCCATGGCACTGGGATGCTAGGGCGCTGGCCAAAACAGCTGTGCTGGCAACCCATGGGGGTCCTCTGCCTGGGAATCTCCTGGTCTGTGGGCAATAAAAAAATCTGTCTGTAAATGTGGCATCCACTCACCCTCTGCACTTTTGCTGAGAGCTGAAATCCTGAGCTGCTACTAATCAGCCATCTTTGAAATGTAGATATTTCTTTGATATAATGATTTTCTTTCTTTTGGGTATATACCCAGCAGTAGGATTACTTTGCCATAAAATATCTCTCTTTTTAGTTTTTTGTGGACCCTCCAAGCCGTTCTCCATGGTGGTTGCCCTGATTTACATTCCCACAAATAGTGTACCAGGGCTCCCTTTTCTCCACATCCTCATTAGCATTTGTTACTGCCTTTTGGATATAAGCCATTTAAACCAGGGTAGGATGATAGCTCATTGTAGTTTCAATTTGCATTTCTCTGATGATCAGTGATGTTAAGCACCTTTTCATGTACTCATTTGCTATTTGTATGTCTTTTTTTGAGAAATGTCTGTTCTGATCTTTTGCACATTTTAAATCAGATTATTAGAGATTTTTCCCCTTATTGATTTTGTTTCCCCTGAGATCCTTATATACTGTGGTTATTAATCCCTTACCAGATGGACTCAGGATTGAGTTTTTTCTTTATTTCACACCCAATTCTAAACCATTAAATGCTTTCAAGTGGAGAAGTGACATATTTATATTGGAAGATGACTTTGTATGTTTGCTATCTATTGCTGTGTAACATACCAGCCAGGCATGGTGGCTCACACCTGTAATCCCAGCACTTTGAAAGGCCGAGACAGGCAGATCATGAGGTCAGGAGTTTGAAAGCAACCTGGCCAACATGATGAATCATCATCTTTACTAAAAATGCAAAAATTGGCTAGGTGTGGTAGCACACGCCTGTAATCCTAGCTACTCAAAAGGCTGAGACAGGAGAATCACTTGAACTCTGGAGGCGGGGATTGCAATGAGCTGAGATCATGCCACTGCACTCCAGCCTGGGGGACAGAGTGAGACCCTGTCTCAGAAAACAAACAAACAAACAAACAACGAAACAAAAACCATAGTGAGGTATAAAGTTACAATGATGTTTATTAGTCTTCTCACAATTCTGGATGCTGACTAGCCTCCACTAGGCAGTTCTGGCTCAGGATGTGGTTGCCTTTTAAGAGTATGGAGTTAGAATAGTGTCGAAGGTTTCCTTGCTCAAATATTTCCTAGTTAATGTGGGCTGTCAGCCAGCGCCTCAGCTGGGACTATCTGGTGGAACACCCACACCTAACCTCCCTACATGGCCTGGGCTTCCTCACAAAATGGTGAATGGGTTCTAGGCGCACCCATCCCAGGAAGGAGAGCCAAGTGGAAACTGTCATCTTTTATGACCTGACTTTGGCAGGTCACGAGCAGCACTTCCACTGTATTCTACTTACAGAAGCAGGGGTCTAAGCTCATTTTCAAGGGAAGAGAAACTAAATTCTATCTCTTGATGACAAGTGTAAAAAAATTTACAGACAACTATTCACAATAGTGAAGACATAAAATCAACCTAAGTTTCCTCCCATAAATGAAAAAAAGAATAAAGAAAATGTTGCAGCTGGGTGCGGTGGCTCACTCCTGTAATCTCAGCAATTTGGGCGGATCAGGTGAGCAAATCACCTGAGGTCAGGAGTTTGAGGCCAGACTGGCAAACATGGCAAACCCCCATCTCTACTAAAAATACAAAAATTAGGTAGGTGTGGTGGTGCACACCTGTAATCCCAGCTATGAGGGAGGCTGAGGCAGGAAAATCACGTGAACTTGGGAGGCAAATGTTGCAGGGAGCCGAGATTGCACCACTGCACTTTAGCCTGGATGACAGAGTGATTCTCTGTCTAAAAAAAAAAAAAAAAAGTCAAAGTGAACCAGAGCATAAAGAGCTACATTAAAGCAACTGAAAAAGTGATGGAAATTAGAGATAGTAGCCTAACACTGCGTTGTCAACTGGTGACCCCGAGGTAGAGACCCTAAAAACAAGGCAGGGCTGGGTACGGGGGCTCAGGCCTATAAGCCCAGTGCTTTAGGAGGCTAAGGTGGCAGGATAGCTTGAGGCCAGGAGTTCGAGAAAAGCCTGGACAACACAGCAAAACCCCATCTCTAGAAAAGCAACAAAAATTAGCCAAGTGTGGTGGTGCACGCCTGTAGTCCCAGCTATGACGGAGGCTGAGGCAGGAAGATTTTTTGAGGCCAGGAGTTTGAGGCTGCAGTGAGTTATGATGATACCACTTTGTTCTAGAACCTGGGTGACAGAGCAAGGCATTGTCTTGAAAGAAAGGGAGAAATGTAAGAATGGAGGGAGTGAGGGAAGGAGGAAGGGAGGGAGGGAAGAAAGAAAGGAATGAATGAAGGGAGGGAGGATGGGAGGATGGGAGGGAAAGGAGAGTGAGAAGGAAAGAAGGAAGGAAGAAATGCAGAGATAGAGAAGTACATAATCAGTAGTCAAAGGACACACCATATACCTGGAAAAACTAATGCAGAATGACTGGCCTAAAGCCAACCCTGGCTAAGCTATTAAAGTTCAATGAATAAAAAAAAAAGTACTGCACTGGCCTTTTGGCAGGAAAACATAACACACATGTGAGAAGAACCTCCAGCCAGTCTCAGGCCTTCCCATAGCCCCAGCCAGAACCAGATGACAATAGTCAGAACTCAAAGAAAGAACGAAAGAAAAGGAAAATGAATTAAGAATATTTGCCCTAGAAAGATGTCATCCAAGTATACATGGATTAAACAGAAACTCTAACACTGCACCAATTTCAAAAATAAAGCAGCTGTGGGTGAAAATAGAAACTGCAGATAAAAATAATCGTGACACTTTTATCTTTTTCATAATTTTAATGAATGTTGAATCAAAAGATATCACTTGCACATAGGCATTTATCTGAAGTTCAGAAATTCTCCACCTTTAGTTTCTGCAGCTTCTGTTGTATCAAGCAAATGAAAGTTATATATTCAAACTAAACACATACGAAATATGCAGTTATTTTAAATCAGTTTATTTATCTAACTACTTATTTGCACAAAAAGTTTTGAATTAATTCTCACTTTTTTTTTTTTTTGAGACAGAGTCTCACTCTGTTGCCTAGGCTGGAGTGGAATGGTACAATCTCAACTCCCTACAACCTCTTCCTTCCAGGCTCAAGTGATTCTTGTCCCTCAGCCTCTTGAGTAGTTGGGATGATAGGCACCCATCACAATGCCTGGATAATTTTGGAATTTTTTTTTTTTAATTTAAAAGCACAATCAGAAGAAATTTCAGAATTTCTAGTAGAGACGGAGTTTCACCATGTTGGCCAGGCTGGTCTCGAACTCCTGACTTTAAGTGATCTGCCCACTTCAGCCTCCCAAAGTGCTGGGATCGCAGGCATGAGATGTCGTGCTGGGCCATATCACATAATGTTGAGTTATTTCTTGGCAACTGAAAATTTTTTGATTTATTACCTCTCTCTCTCTCTCTCTCTCTACTTTTCTATAGGACTTAGATTTTATATAATAATTACAAATAATTTGTACAAAAGCCATTCTCATTCTAAACTTTTAAAAATTAAACAGTGATTAAGAATGAGCTACAGAAAGTAGGATTTATTCAGCTCCTATTATATACTAGATATTTTGCATATAGTGGATCACCTAATTGACATATCAAGGCAGGAATTATAATCTTTATTTTCCAGGAGAAAAAACTGAGAATTATAATTATTTCTTAACTCTAGAGTTCCACAGCTGCTACCAAAACAAGTGCCCCTTCCAGCAGCCTGCCCCCTTCTGGTTTTATCCAATTCAACCCCCTACTTCTACCTCCACATCTGTGTGCAAGAATGTACACACACACACACACACTCACACACACACACACACACTCACTCTCTCTCTCTTCTGCAATATTCTATCTGCCTAGGCCAGGAGCTTGTCATGACTAACCAAATGCCATAACTATTTCCTGACCAAAGCTGTTCTTCAACATCTCTATGATTTGGGAAATAGTTTCTAATTTTACACTGATGGGGGTCACACTGAGGTCTCGAGAAGTAATAATTACAAACCATCTTAATCTATGTGAAAGGGTGTGATGTTCAGGTATATTCAGCCCTTTGAGATGCTCTGCTGGAAGCTGGTTGAGCCGCAAAGTACTACGGACGCATGGTCCTCTTGGTCCATGGTCATTAATAATGATTCTTGGTACTTCTTTCGTGTCTGTGCCAAGGGTGGTTTCAAAAGCTGGAAGAAGCTTATCGATTTCTATGCAAGGAAATATCTCTTTCACAATGCATATGTGGGAGTGTGTGTATGCTATGAAAATACATACACACACATATTCACATATAAATACATACATATATTCACATATACATACACACATATTCACATATAAATACCTACACACATATCTACATATGTATTCATAGTGTACTAATTAAAAGGTAACTTCTTAATGATCCATGAAAAGAGAATGGCAGGCCAGGTGTAGGGGCTCACACTTGTAGTCCCAGCACAGCAGGAGGTTGATGGGGGAGGATCACTTGAGCCCAGGAGTTTGAAACAGGCCTGGGAAACATGGTGAGACCCCATCTCTACAACAAATATAAGAATTAGATGGGCATGGCGGCCCGTACCTGCGGTCCCAGCTACTCAGGAGGCTGAGGTGGGAGGATGACTTAAGCCATGAAGGTAGAGGTGTGGTGAGCCGAGATCACACCACTGCGCTTCAGCCTGAATGACGAAGCAGTAACTTGCCTCAAAAAAACAAACAAACAAACAAACAAAAAAATGGTATCCCAGAAGTTTGAAAATCTATATATTCATCAACGTATGTAATCATAGTATATCAATGGAAGAGTAAATTATCAATACTTCATGGTAAGCAAAGGACAGGCCACGGATGATGGCTCATGACTGCAATCTCAGCACTCTGAGAGGCCCAGGCAAGAGGATTACTTGGGTCCAAAAGTTTAAGAACAGTCTAGGCTGGGCGCGGTGGCTCATGCCGGTAATCCCAGCACGTTGGGAGACCGAGGTGTGCAGATCACAAGATCGGGAGTTCAAGACCAGCTTGACCAACATGGTGAATCCTCATCTCTACTAATAATACAAAAATTAGCCGGGTGTGGTGGCCAAACCTGTAATCCAAGTTACTCAGGAGGCTGAGGCAGGAGAATCGATTGAACCCGTGAGGCTGAGGCTGCAGTGAGCTGTGATCCTGCCACTGCACTCTAGACTGGGCAACTGAGCAAGGTTCAGTCTCAAAAAAAAAAAAAGGAAAGACCAGCCTAAGCAACAGAGTGAGAACCAACCTTTCAAACCAAATCAGAAATTAGTTAGAAATGGCAGCATCTGCCTGTAGTGTCAGCTACTGAAGACGCTGACTTGGGAAAATCAGTGGAGGCCAAAAGGCCAAGGCAGCAGTGGAACCATGATCACACGACGACACCCAAGCCTGGGTGACAGAGCAAGACCATAAGAAAAACCAAAGTTAACTGTAAAAAATATACACAAAGAAGACATGAAACGAGCAGCTACCATGTCCAGGGCAAAGACAAACAGCCCAAGCAGAGGCCCAGTCCGCTGCAAACCCCCAGGAGAGAAGAAAAACCATGAGACATTCAATACAGCAGACAGCACTGTAGAAAGATACAGCAGAGTTTACTACCAAGCCGGCAGAAATCCCCTCTCAAGGTAAAAGTAGACTCAGGCCTTTAGCTAAGGCTGCTGGGAAGTGAACTCATGAGAGTCCAGGGAAGCTTTGGGCTTCAGGATGCAGTTGACAATCAAACACCTGTAGAGCTGGATCCAGAAGAGACCACTGAAAGGCAAGTGCGGGACACAAAAGACCACCGTGAGAGAGGAGATGGGCCTTGAGTGTCCACTAAGAGGCAGAAGATAAGCCTGAAGAGGCCACTGCGAGGCAGGAGCTCGGCTAAAAGAGGCTGCTGTGAAACAGAAGCTGCACCTTGAGAGGCGGACATGACACAGAGGACGGGCCTGGAAAGCCCGACCTGAGGAAGGCTGAGGTCTGCGGAGCTGGGTAGGAGTGGGGCCAAACGTCGTCGTTGTGAGGCAGGAGCTGGGTCTGTAGATGCAGCCGGGAGGAAGAGCTGGGCCCGGAGGATTTCCGGGAGGTAGCACCTGCGCCTGGAGGGGCCATGAAAGCAGAAGCACGATCTGGGTCCAGAGACACCTCTAAAGGTCTTCGAGAAGTAAAGGGTGAGTGGTGCAGAGGCCTTTTTCATGCTAAAGCTGAGCCTTTACATGCCACTGGGAGAGAGAAGCTGGGTCTGGAAAGGTTGACTTAAGGACGTTTTGGGCATATATTGGCCCTTGGCAAACTGTCAGGAGCTGGGCCAAAAGAAGTTGTTATGAGGCAGCAAGTGTTCCTGTATCCTCAGCCAAGACAGAGTTGGGCCTGGAAAATCTGCAGTGGAAAGAGCCTGGGTTTTCAGAGGTCAGTGGGAGGCAGGTGCTGGGCATTCAGAGGCCACTGGGGACAGTAAGTGGGTGGAAGTTTTGTGCCTGGAGACGCCGTCCAGGACCAAACCTGCAGCTGGAGATGCCATTGTGAGTTCAAAGTTTTGCACAGAGATGCCAGTATGGGCAGGACCTGGGCCTATCCAGGCTTCCAGGGAACAGACAGCCACCTAGCCAGGGAAGGTTCCCGTGAGGCAAAATCTTCATCCGGAAAGGCACCTGTGAGGCCTGATCTTGGCCTAAAGAGGCCATGGGGTGGCAGGAACTGGGTGTGTAGAGGCTGCTGAAAGGCAGGAGCTTGGCTTCTTGGGGCCATCATGAGGCAGATGCTGGATGTGAAGAGTCTGCTGTGAGGCAGAGGTTAGGCCTGTAGAGGCAGATGTGAGTGAGGACCTGGGCCTGTAGAGGCTGCCGGCATTCAGTAGCTTTGCCTGGGGAGGCTGCCAAGAGGCATAAGCTGAGCCTAAAGAGCCCAGTGTGAGGCAAGTGCTTGTCCTGGAGTTGCCAACTTGAGGAAGACTCCAGCCTGGAGAGCCTGTTTATGGGCAGGACCTGGGCCTGTCGAGGCTGCCAGGAGGCAGGTTAAAAAGTTGTTCGGGGAAGACCTCCATGAGGCAAAGCCAGGCCTGGAGAGGCCACTGTCACTCAGGAGCTGGGCCTGTCCAAGTCATTGAGAGGCTGAACCTAGACCTGGAGAGCTTGACTTGAGGTAGTTTTGGGCCTAAAAATGTCACCAGGAGCTAGGCAGGAGCTGAGATGAAAGAGGTTGTTGTGAGGCAGGTGCTGGGCCTCTAGGCACAGCTGGGAGGAAGATCTGGGACCTGAGAGGCTGACTTGTGGACACTTTGGGCCTGGATAGGCCACCCAGAGTCAGGAGCTGCAACTAGAAAGGCCATTGTAAGGGAGGAGCTGGGCTTGTGAACACTGCTGCGAGGCGGTAGCCTCAACTGCAAAGACTACCATGAGGTAGGGTATAGGCCTAAATAGGCCATTGTGAGCCATGAGCTGTGGAGGCCGACATGGAAAAAGTTCTGGGCCTGGAAAGGCTGCGAGGAGGCAGGAGCGGAGCCAAAAGATTCAAGCACATTACGTTTATTGGGCACTTTATTTCCATTAATACATTGTAATATGTGATGAAATAATTACAGAGCTCACCGTAATTTAGAATTAGTGTCCATTAAGCTTGTTTTCCTGAGCTAGACGGTCCCATCTGAGTGTGACAGGAGACAGTGACAGATCATCAGGCATTATTCTCACAGGGACCACGCAACCTTGATCCCTGGCATGCATGGTTCACAATGGGGTTCATGCTCCTAAGACAATCTAATGTTGCTGCTGATCTGAGAGAAGGCAGAGCTCAGGCAGGAATGTGAAGCTTCCCTCACTAGACATCACTCACCTCCTGCTGTGTGGCTCCTTACAGCTCCATGGCTCCGGGTTTGGGGACCTCTGCTCAAGTACATTCAAAAGGACCCTTTCCACCCCAGTCATTACAGTGGTCAAGTGCAACAACCACTTAGCTCCCAAAGCATGGGCCTCAGCTGGCATTTCATCACAATCGACAGTAAGTGGTAGCTTGAGTCATGATAAGGTCCCTCCCTGAAATAAGCAGTGTCCCATTTCCCATTGGCAAGGAGCTTGGCACTGCCCCTTGGATAACCAAACCTATGCCCGAATCCCATCTGTGTGGGTCTATCTCCTGGGACCCTTCCTAGAATCAGCTCTGTAATAGAGTGCAATCAGGAGACATAAACCACTCAAAAGTTTAAAGTGGTAAAATTTAATATGAGAATTATTCATTATAACGGGGAGCAGCATAATGAGAGATTGGCTAGCACAAAGTAAAGAGCTCTAGAGAATATAGGACTGGTCAATGCCAGGCATGGTGGCTCATGCCTGAAATTCCAGCAACCTAACAGGACAATACAGGAGGACTGCTGAGGCCAGGAGCTAGAGACCGGCCTGGGCAGCAGAGCGAGACCCTGTCTCTATCCACAAAAAGAAAAAACTTGGCTGGGTGTGGAGGTGCACACTTGTAGTCCCAGCTACTCAGGAAGCTGGAGAGAGAGGGTAGTTTGAGCCTGGGAGGTCAAGGCTGCAGTGAGTCATGATTATGCCACTACAGTCAAGCCTGGGTGACAGAGCAAGACCCTGTCTCAGAACAAAATAACAAGGCCAACCATTTACAGACAGAAAAATAGAGCTAATAAGCTAAGCTAAGGAAAGGTGTTGAAATGTGACAAATAAATAAAGCAAATGAGGTTTTTATCTATTTAAAATAATAAATAACTTATTAAAGTATAATACCTTGTGCTCGGAAAGGTACGGTGAAGTGGGCACTTTCTTATACTGTGGGGGATGTTTAAATTGTACATAATCCTTCCAAGGTAAAGCTCAGCAATTGTTTTAAGTAATAGAGACAGTGTCTCACCATACTGCTGGCCTCAAGCAATCCTCCTGCCTTAGCCTCCCTCCCTCCTTAGGCTTAGTGCCGGGATTATAGCTGGGAGGCACCCAACACCTTGTCAATTTACATCAAGGGCAATGAGAATGTCCATTCACCGTGACTCACAGTACTCTCACTTCTGAAAATACCTTGGGAGACAATTCAACCTAAACCAAAAGTCATCTGCACAAACACTGAAAATCTGGGAGTAATTTCAGACAGGTTAAGTGAAATAAACAGTTATAAGAAATTGAATTAGGGTATTTTTAGGCCCCTGGTGAAAGAGCAGTTAGTGTTAGCTGCTGGTTTTTTGTTGTTTTGAGACAGGGTCTCACTCTGTCACCCAGGCTGGAGTGCAGAGGCCTGATTATGACTCACTGCAGTCTCAGCCTCCCTGGACTCAAGCAGCTGGGACTACAGGCACATGCCACCACGCTAGGCTAATTCATGTATTTTTCCACTGGGGTAGTGACTCCCTTTGTCAATGAGGCCTGTCTCAGACTCTTGGCCTCAGGCCATCCTCCTGCCTCAGCCTCCCAAAGTGTTGTGATTACCGGTGTCAGCCACCACATTTGGCCAGCTGCTTTTTAAAAATTATTATTATTCGACTCAATTAAAACATATTTGGTACTAACACTATCATTTTCAAGGCTATGGAACAATACGTGTCCTCCAGCATAACTGTAAGAACATCTACAGTCACCCCTCAGTGTAAAGACAGGATTACTTCCAGCTCCCCATCTCTGCACATACCAAACTTCATGCATACTCACATTTCAGTCAGCCCTCTGGAACCCACGTATAGGAGAAGTCGAAATACTGGTTGGGCATAATGGCAAACACCTATAGTCTCAGCCATTTGGGAAGCTGAGGTGGGAGGATCGCTTGAACCTGGGAGGTCATGGCTGCATTCAGCTGTGATAGCACCACTGCACTGTGGCATGGACAATAGAGCAAGACCCTGTCTCAGAAGAAAACATAATAATAACCAACAGGTTAGAAATTGCAATGAGGGCTGATGGGGAAAATTCCACAGAAGCAACGTACACATTAATGTAGCAGACGGTGATAAATCAGTACAACTGACTTTCTGGAGTTTCTGACAATAAAGGTAAGAAAAATGCAAAACACAGAGACGGAGCATAAAAAAAGAAATTAAGGAGGCATTTACGTGTACAATAGGGTGACCCTGGCCGTGTTTGTGCAGCAGTGTGTCACGATGTGACCTACTTGGAGACGAGTTAACAACGAGTGAGTTGATAGAAATGATCAGAGGAGCAAAATACCAAGAGCGATAGTTAAGAAGAATCTCCCTGAGCGATGTCAGAAAAGTGGGGATATTGCAGTGTGTATTGGAGCTCCTGTACAACACTGTTTATCTGCCTTTTGTCTGTAAAAACATATCTACTAAAAGTTCTTCTTGCTGTCAAAAGAGTATGTGGGAATAAATCATTAGAATTTATTCTTTTGTTTTTCACCTTTATCTTCCTGCCATCATCCCACAGCCTAACTTTAGAAATGTTTGTTTTTTTTTAGAAAATTGAACAAGTGTTCATTGTGGTGGATCATACCTCTAGGATGGGAGGTGGGGGTAGAAGGGTCACTGGAGGCCAGGAGTTTGACACCAGCCCGACCAAAAAAGTGAGAGCCCATGTCTATAAAAAAATTTTAAAATTAATCAGGTGTCATCATGTATACCTACAGTCCCAGCTACTCAGGAGGCGGAGGCAGGAGAATCCTCAGCCCAGGATTTCAAGCCTGCAGTGAGCTGTGATTGCACCACTCTACTCCAGCCAAGGTGACAGAGCGAGACCCCGTCTCCTAAAACAAAAAAGAAAGAAAGAAAATAGATCAAGTAACAAGTTGTGTGTGGCTTACTCTGAATATTTCTAAATGGAAAGTTCTAAATCTTTTGGGGTCTAGCATCCCTTTACATTTTTGAACTTTATGTAAGATCTCTAAGAAATTTTCTTTATACAGATAATTAAAGTTAAAAAATCAGAAATAAATTTAAAAATATTTGTATTCATTACATATTAATAAACCATTAAATGTTGATGTAACTAATGCAAAACAAAATTTTAAAAATATTTATTATACATTACATATTAATAACAAAATTGGCTGGGTGAGGTGGCTCATGCCTATAATCCCAGCACTTTGGGAGGCCGAGGTGGGTGGATCACCTGAGGTCAGGATATCGAGACTAGCCCTCCAACATAGTGAAACCCTGTCTCTACTAAAAATATAAAATTAGCCAGGTGTGGTGGCAGGCACCTGTAATCCCAGCTACTCGGGAGGCCGAGGCAGAAGAATTGCTTAAACCTGGCAGGTGGAGGATGCAGTGAGCCGAGATAATGCCATTGCACTCCAGCCTGGGAAACAAGAATGAAACCCTATCTTAAATAATAATAATAATAAATCCATTACATGTTGATATAAGTAACACTTTTTTTTTTTGAGACAGAGTCTCACTCTTTCACAGAGGCTAGAGTGAGGCAATGCAATCTCAGCTCAGTGCAAACTCTGCCCCCCGGGTTCAAATGATTCTCCTGCCTCAGACTCTGAAGTAGCTTGGATTACAGGCACCCACCACCATGCCCAGCTATTTTTTGTATCTTTTTAATAAAGATGGGGTTTTGCCCTGTTGGCAAAGCTGCTCTCGAACCCCTGACCTCAGGTAATCCACCCACCTTTTTCTCCCAAAGTGTTGGAATTGCAGGCATAAGCCACCTCATTCATCCCAATTAATATATTTTTTGAAACATTGATTAGTCAGGCAACAACACTGGTCAGGGGTCTCCTCATTCCCAGTGATAAAAACCCCACTGCACGGCTCCAGGGTTGCAAGAGCCAAAAGGCTCTGACTTGAGATTTCATTATTTTTCTTGTATTTCTTTTTTTTTTAGACGAAGTTTCGCTCGTTACCCAGGCTGGAGTGCAATGGCGCGATCTCGGCTCACCACAACCTCTGCCTCCTGGGTTCAGGCAATTCTCCTGCCTCAGCCTACTGAGTAGCTGGATTACAGGCACATGCCACCATGCCCAGCTAATTTTTTGTATTTTTTTTAGTAGAGATGGGGTTTCACCATGTTGACCAGGATGATCTTGATCTCTTGACCCGGTGATCCACCCGCCTCGGCCTCCCCAAGTACTGGGATTACAGGCTTGAGCCACCGCACCTGGCCTATTTTTCTCGTATTTCTCTTTGTATTGTGAGACAAGGTCCTGCTGTCACCCAAACTGGAGTGCAGTTGTGCACTTATAGCTAACTGCCGCCTCAACCTCGAGGGATCAAGCCATTTTCCTGCCTTAGCTCCCCAGTGCTGGTACTACAGTTGAGTGCCACCATAACAGGCTTTTTAATTTTTTTTGTAGAGTGAGGAGTCTTGCTATGTTGCCCATTCTGGCTTCAAACTCCTGACCTCAAGAGATCTGCTCACCTCAACCTCCTGAGTAACTGAGACTACAAGTACGCATCACCATGCCTAGCTAATTTATTTTATTTTGTTAAATTTTGAAAAATATTTTGTAGAGGGGAAATATATTCCTATGTTGCCCCAGCTGGTCTTGAACACCTGTTTTTAAAAGATACTTTCATCTCTGCTTCCCAAAAAGCTGGGACTACAGGCATAAGCCACTGCACTAAGCCTGAAGAGATTTCTTTAATCTAGCATCCCATACTTGATAAGATTGGGAAAGGCAGTAGTGTTTTTCAAAATTAATAATTCAGTAAAACTGAAAACCAACTTTGACCTCTGCTTCTCTCAGACTGCACATTTAGTCTGTCAGGAAATCCTGTTGACTGTGTTCACCGTGTACTGAAGATCCCCACCCAGCAGCTCCCTGGCCTCCTCCTCTACTTCTCTCCTCCGACCATCTCTCACCACCGCCGTTACCCTGGTCAGGACCACTGTCATCAGGACCACTATCATCTCCCACCTGTTGTCACAGCTTGGCCCCCATCCTTCTACCCAAATCTTCCCACAGTCTTTCTCAACTCAGCAGCCAGACAGTGCTTTTCAATTAAGGGACAGATCATATCGCCTCTCTGCTCAGAACCCTCCCGCAGTTCCCATCTCTGAGTAAAAGCCAACGCCCCTCTGCCTGCAGTAACCTCCCAGGGCTGACAAGATCTCTACTGATCCCTGGCCTCCTCTCCAGTCTCTCCCTCTGTCCTGCTCCACTGGGCCTCCCTTCAGAGCCTCAGACACACCTGACACTATTCTGTGGTTTCTGCCTACAATGCTCGTCCCTCAGCACCTTGGCCAGCTCCTTCCCCCCCTTCAAGTCTTTGCTCAGTTTTCACTTAGGTGACAACCCCTGACCATTCTATTTAACACTACCACCTGTGCCCATTACTACCACATTCACTTCTTTCTCTCTTTTTTTTCTTTTGTTTTGGAGAGAAGATCTCACTCTGTCACCAAGGTTGGAGTGGAGTGGTGTAATCACAGCTCACTGCAACCTCAAATTCCCAGGCTCAAGCAATCCTCCCACCTCAGCCTCTCTAGTAGCTGAAACTATAGGTGCATGCCATCATGCCTGGCTCATTTTTCATTTTTATTTTTTGAGAGAAGGAAAGAAAAAGAAAAGAATGAGTAAAGGAGAGGAAGAAAGAGGAAGAGAAAGAGGAAGGGTGAATGGAAATATTGCTTTATTCAAAAAAAAAAATGGGTATTAATAATGGCCAATCAATGTTTCATTTAAACCTATGAGTAGGTGTGATATGGTATTGACAAGAATGTGTATTTTGTGTATTTGGAGAGCTCTATAAATATTTATTAAGTTTACTTGTTCCGGATCTGAGTTCAAGTCCTTGATATCCTTAATAATTTTCTATCTCATTGAATCTAAGTCTCTATGTATCTGGGTGTTCGGACCGTTAGCTCTTGTTGTTGCATTGATCCTTTTACCACTATCTTTGTTGCTTTAAAATCTATTTTATCCGATACGAGAATTGCAACTCCTGCTTTTTATTTATTTATTTATTTATTTATGCTCTCCATTCGGTTGGTAAACCTTTCTCCACCCCTTCGTTTTGAGTCTTTGTATATCCTTGCATGTGAAACAGGTATGGATGTAACATGCTGTTGGGTTTTGGCTGTGTCTTTTGATTGGGGGATTTAGTCAATTTAAATTTAGGGTTACTGCCATTTGATGTTAACTGGCTGTTTGATCCATTCATTGATGTAAATTCTTCTTTATGTTGGTGCTCTTTACTTTTTGGTATATTTTTAGAAAGGCTAATACTGGTTGTTTCTTTCTGTGTGTAATGCTTCTTTCAGAAGCTCTTGTAAAGCAGGCCTGGTGGTAATAAAATCTCTGAGTACTTGCTTGTTCATAAAAGATTTTATTTTTCCTTCAGTTGTGAAGCTTAGTTTGGCTGGATATGAAATTCTGGGCTGAAGGTTCTGTTCTTTGAGGATGTTGAATATTGGCCCCCACTCTCTTCTGGTTTGTAGAGTTTCTGCTGAGTGATCTGCTGTAAGTCTGATAGGCTTGCCTTTGTGGGTAACCTGACCTTTCTCTCTGGCTACCCTTAGTATTTTCTCCTTTGTTTCAACCCTAGTGAATCTAACGATTATGTGCCTTGGGGTTGCTCTTCTTGAGGAGTATCTTTGTGGTGTTCTCTGTATTACCTGGGGTTGAATACTGACCTGCTTTGCTAGTTTAGGAAAATTTTCCTGACTAATATCCTGAAGGGTATTTTCCAGCTTAAATTCATTCTCTCCGTCACATTCAGGTACACCTATCAAACGTAAATTTGGTCTTTTCACATAGTCCCACATTTCTTGTAGACTTTGCTCATTCCTTTTTATCCTTTGTCTCTAATCTTATCTTCTTGTTTTCTTTCATTAAGTTGGACTTCGACCTCTGATATCCCTTCTTCTGCTTGAACAATTCGAGTGTTTAAACCTGTGCATACTTCTCGGAGTTCCTGTATTGTATTCTTCAGTTCCATTAATTCACTCATACTCCTCTCTAAGTTGTCTATTCTCAATAGGATTTCATCAAACCTTTTTTCAAAGTTCTTAGTTTCTTTACGTTGGGCTACAACATGTTCTTTTAACTCACCGAAGTTTCTTATTATCCATTCCTTGAAGAGTGATTCTGTAATTGGGATGCGCTCGTTCCCCATCAAGCCTTGTTCCATTGTTGACGTGGAACTGTGATCATCTTTAGAGGGAGAGGCGTTCTGATTTTGAGTATTCTCAGCTTTTTTATGCTGGTTTCTTCCCATCATTGTAAATTTATCGTCCTGTCGTCTTTGAAATTACTTTCATATTAGGTCTCTTGAGTAGACATCCAAGTTGTTAGTTCCCAGGGCCAGAACAGCGGCATTAAGACTGATGGTGCTTTTCTGCCCAGGATTCTCCTGTCTGGCTTCCTTCTTGTTTCTGAAATAGGCGACTCTGCCTTCCCGGGGCTCCAAACCTCAGTCAGAAGGGGAACCAGTCTCGTTTACTGTGCGCTGAGAGCTGCTGCGCTGAGAGCTGTTGTGCCGAGGTGCCATCAAAGCTGCTGTGCCGGCCTCAGGAGTAGTGCTGGGGACCCGCATGGGTCCTGCAAACCTCGGTCAGAAGGGGAGCCAGCCCTGTTTACTCTGCTCCGAGAGCTGCCGCGCTGAGGTGCTGGTGAAACCACTGCCCAAGGTGCCAGCGGAACCGCTGCGCCGGCCACGAGAGTCGCGCTGGCAACCCGTGTGACTCCTCCACTGGGGATCTTCTGCTCCATGAGCGACCAGAATTTGTCTGAAAGTGTGGCGTCCTCCTGTTCTCTGCGCTTTCACTGAGAGCTGAAATCCCTAGATGTTAGCGATCGGCCATCTTGGATCATTCCTATTTTTTATTTTTTAATTTAATTTTATTTTGAAATGGAGTTTAACTTTTCTTGCCCAGGCTAAAGTGCAATGGTGCAATCCCAGGTCACTGCGACCTCCACCTCATAGATTGGAGCGATTCTCCTGCCTCAGCCTCCCACGTAGCTGGGATTACAGGCATGAGCCACCATACCTAACTAATTTTTGTATTTTTAGTAGAGGTGGGGTTTTGCCGTGTTAACCAGGCTGATCTCAAACTCCTAACCTAAGGTGATCCACCCTCCTCAACCTCCCAATGTGCTGGGATTACAGAAGTGAGGCAGTGTGCCTGGTGAATTTCATTTTTGTAGAGACAGGGTCTCTCTATGTTGTCCAGGCTGGTCTTGAACTCCTGGCCTAAAGTGATCCTCCTGCCTTAATTTCTAAAGTGCTGATATTACCAGCATTGGCCACCATGCCTGGCTTCATGTTCATTTCTTTTTGCTGCTGCAACAAACTACCCTACCCTAGGGTTTAGGCAGGAAAATGGCTTGATCCCTCGAGGTTGAGGCTGCAGTTAGCTATAAGTGCACAACTGCACTCCAGCCTGGGTGGCAGCAGGACCTTGTCTCACAATAAAAATAGAAATACAAGAAAAATAGGCCAGGTGCGGTGGCTCAAGCCTGTAATCCCAGTACTTTAAGAGGCCGAGGCGGGTGGATCACGGGGTCAAGAGATCGAGACCATCCTGGTCAACATGGTGAAACCCCATCTCTACTAAAAAAATACAAAAAATTAGCTGGGCATAGTGGCGTGTTCCTATAATCCCAGCTACTCAGTAGGCTGAGGTAGGAGAATTGCCTGAACCCAGGAGGCAGAGGTTGCGGTGAGCCGAGATCGCGCCATTGCACTCCAGCCTGGGTAACAAGAGCGAACCTCCGTCTAAAAAAAAAAGAAATACAAGAAAAATAATGAAATCTCAAGTCAGAGCCTTTTGGCTCTGCAGCCCTTGCAACCCTGAAGCCGTGCAGTGGGGTTTTTAATCACTGGGAATGAGGAGACCCCTGACCAGTGTTGTTGCCTGACTAATCAATGTTTCAAAAAATATATTAATTGCTTAATATATTAGTTGCTTAAAATATCACAAATCTACTATCTTACATTTCTGAGAGTCAGAAGCCCAAACGAGGTCTATTAAGGTAAAGTCAAGGTGTCAGCAGGCCTGCATTCCTTCTGGAGGCTCTGAAGTGTTCCCTTGGCTTTTCCAGCTTCGGGAAGCCCCCCCCCCCCCCCACCGCTTCCTTGGATCATGGCCCCTGACTCCATCTTCAAAGACAGAAGTGAAGCATCTTCAAATCTCCCTCTCTGACCTCTGCTTGCATCACCCCATCTGCTGCTCCAATTCTGACTCTCCTACCCTCTTTCTTTTATAAAGACCTTTGAGATTGCTACGCATGGTGGCTTTCATCCATAAGCCCAACGCTTTGGGAGGTCAAGGTAGGAGGAACACTTGAGGCCCACAGTTTGGAACTAGCCTGGACAACATAGTGAGACCCCACCTCTACAAAAGCATAAAAACAATATTAGCCGGACATGGCAGTGAGTGCCTGTAGTCCCAGCTACTTTAGAGGCTGAGGTGAGATGATTGCTTTAGCCCAGGAAGATGAGATCAGCCTGGGTGACTTAACTAAATCTCGTCTCTACAAAAACGAGCTGGGCATGGGTGACACGCATGTGTAATCCCAGCTCCTTGGGAGGCTGAGGTGGGAAGATCGCTTGAGCTCAGGAGGTCAAAGATATAGTGAGCTACGATCACATTCCTGCACTCCAGCCTGGATGACACAATTCAGGGAGATTCTGTCTGAAAAAAAGAAAAGAAATATATATTTCATCTGGAGGGTGAGAGCATCTTCCAGATAAGGTGATGTTAAAGCCGGGCATCCCTAGGCGTCCATCTCTTTCTTTCTCCCTCCTTCCCTCCCTCCCTCCTTTCCTCCCTCCCTCCCTCCCTCCCTCTTTCGTGCTTTTTGAGACAGGGTCTGGCCCTTTTGTCCAGGATAGAGTGCAGTGGCACAATCTCAGCTCACTACAACCTAAGCTTCTTGAGTCCCCAGCTCAAGCCATCCTCACCTCAGTTTTCCTAGTAGCTGGAACTACAGGTGCATATCACCGTGCCTGGTTATTTATTTTATTTTATTTTTGAGATGAAGTCTCGCTCAGTAGCCCAGGCTGGAGTGTAGTAGTGTGATCTTAGCTGCACTATGACCTCTGCATCCAGGGTTCAAGTGATTCTCCTGCCTCAGCCTCCTGAGTAGCTGGGATTACAGGCATGCATCACCACACGATTTGTAGTTTTTATAGAGACAGAGTTTCACCATGTTGTTTAGGCTGATCTGAAACTCCTGAGTTTAAGCGATCCTCCCACCTCAACCTCCCAAAGTGCTGGGATCACAGGCGTGAGCCACTGCACCCAGCATGCACATCTCCTTCACTGGCTGTTTCTGAGATGTGCCCTTTACAGTGAACCAGGAATAGGAAATGAGCTGACCAGACGTGCTCGCTCACATCTGTAATCCCGGCACGTTAAGTGATTGAGGTGGGAGAATTGCTTGGACCCAGGAATTTGTGGCCAGCCCGAGCAACAAAACACCCCATTTCAACAAAAAATAAAATAAATTAGCCAGATGTAGTGGTGCAGGCGTGTGGTCTCAGCTACTAGGGAGGCTGAGGTGGGAGGACCACTTAAACCGAGGCAGTCGAGGCTGCAGTGAGCTATGGCTGCACATGCACACCAGCCTGGGCAACGAAATGAGACCTTGTCTCTCGGAAAAAAGAAAACAGCTGATTTTCTGAGTTCTGTAAGCTGTTCTAGCAAATGACTAAATCCAAGAAGGGGTCATGGAAACCCTGATTTATAACAGGTTGGTCAAAAGTACAGGTGATGACCTAGTACTTGCCACTGGCATGTGAAGTGAGGCCAGTCTCGTGGGACTGAGCCCCTAACCTTAGGGTCTGCGCCAGCTCCAGGTAGTGTCAGAACAATATTGTGGGTACCAAGTTACTATCCAGAGCACTGGAGAATTTGGTGTAGAACCTCCACACACACGTTCAGTGAGAAATGTGTGACTAGAGAGAAACGCAGGCTTCATTTTCTCACCTGCCTCCTTAACTGCAGAGGAGACGCAGTGCGTGGTGCTCATGAACAGAGCAAGCGTTAGAGTCACACCAGGCCCTACATCCGCCTCAGTCTTAATACCATGTGAGCGTGGGCAAAGCTCGGTATCCCCAAGTCTTCATCACTTCGTTCAGCAAATGGGGCTAACTGTGGCGCCTGCCTGTGATTTTGGAGAATTCATGAAACACTATGCTTGATGTTACTGTGACCATCACAGCTATTCCCAACTATTTGACAGGCACAGTGATGGATGATGACATCACAAAATTAGAAACTGTAGTGAGGTCTCTTTGGCAAAATTCCATACAAGCAAATTACTGTCTCTCCAAAGTATTCCTGCCACACTTAATTCAGCATTCCCTGAAGAACATGTGCCATCTTAATTGTCCAGGTCTTTACAGAGCTGCTTTCCCTGCCGGGAACGCTCCATCCCATCCCAGCCCACTCCCCATGCCTCCACCTCCCCCTTCCCTCCCCACTCTCATACAACTCTTCCTCATCTTTCAAACCCCGGCTTTAACGTCACCTTATCTGGAAGCTGCTCTCACTCCCAGAAGTGCTTCCCACTGCTCTTGAGGCATGCACTATTATTTGATCATTATTGAGTTATTGTCCAAGTCTTTTTGTACCTGAGTAACATGCTGCCCAGTCAGTCTCTTCCTGGACTCTGAAGTCTTTCATGGTAAATCCAGCTGGAAGTGACATAAAGACATTCTTGAAAAATAAAAGAAGGAATGACAAGGACATCAGTATTTAGAAGTTTTAAATGGCATGTGGAAAGTAAGCAAAACTCAAGAGCTTCTAGGAAAAACATAGGAGGGAAGGTGTTACTGGGAAATATGCTAAAGAGTTCATGTTTATTTTACTTTATATTTTTGAGAAAGAATCTTGCTCTATCGCCTTGGCTGGACTGCAATGGTACCATCACAGCTCACTGCACCCTCAGCCTGCAGAGGTTCAGCCATCTTCCATCCTAATTTTTATCTTATTTAAGAAACACAGTCTTACTGTGACTAAGGCTGGAGTGCAGTGGTATGATCACAGCTCACTGCAGCCTCAGCCTGCAGAGGGTCAGCCATCTTCCATCCTAATTTCTAACTTATTTAAGAAACGCAGTCTTACTGTGACTAAGGCTGGAGTGCAGCTTTAGTAACACTCCACAGTGGACTCCATAGTAAAGTGGATCACAGCTCACTGCAGCCTCAGCCTCCTAGGCGCAAGTGATCCTCGAGTCACACACCTCCCCAGTAGCTGGGACCACAGGTGTGCAATGCAATGTCCAGCTCATTTTACTTTTAATTTTTAGTAGAGACAGAGTGCCGCTATATTGACCAGGCTGGTGGTGATCCCCTACCCTCAAGCAGTTCTCCCACCTCAGCCTTCCAAAGTGCTGGGATTACAGGTGTGAGCTGCCATACCTGGCTGAGGGGGTTAATTTTTTTTTTTTTTTTTAGACGGTGTTTCACTGTTGCTACCCAGACCAGAGTGCAATGGCACGATCTCGGCTCACCGCAACCTCCACCTCCTGGGTTCAAGCAATTCTCCTGCCTCAGCCTCCCGAGTAGCTGAGACTACAGGCACACACCACCATGCCCAGCTAATTTTTGTATTTTTAGTAGAGACGGAGTTTCACCTCATTGACCAGGATGGTCTCGATCTCTTGACCTCGTGATCCACCTGCCTCGGCCTCCCAAAGTGCTGGGATTATAGGCTTGAGGCACCGCGCCCGGACATTTTTAATGATATAAAGAGCTCAAAGCAAATATTGGAAGGAGCCTAAACACCTATGGCGGCTGACTGGTAAATTATAATACATCCGTATAATGAAACATTATGCAACCGTGAAAAGGATCAAGACAGATGGATAGGTATTGGCACAGATGTCCAGGAAATATGAAAATGAGAAGTGGTATCCAATTAGCCTGTAAGTGTCTTGAAGAATATAGCCAATTATTTCCTGAGATAAGATGCGTCTAAAGAGTGAAGGAAGTTTTTCACTCCTTTATTTAAAAGTATTCACTATTTTTATAATTTAATATAAGATTAAATAAATAGATCATCAAATTTGCAAAAGACACATTAACTCTATAAATAAAGATAAAACATGGACAGTGCAGCCATGGTCGCTCGCTGTTTGGGAGGGGGTGGTGGGAGGATCACTTGAGGTCAGGAATTCCAGACCAGCCTAGGAAACATAGTAAGACCTCATCTCTACTTAAAAAAAAAAAAAAAAAAAAAATTAGCCAGGCATGGTAGCATATGCCTATAGTCCCAGTTACTGAGGTGGAAAGACCACCTAAACCCAGGAGGTCAAGGCTGCAGTGATTTGAGACTGTACCACTATACTCAAGCTTGGGCTACAGAGCAAGACTTGGTCTCAAAAAAAAGGGCAGGGGGCAATAAAGAAATAAAGCTAGCTGGGCATGGCTGCTCACACCGTAATCCTAGCACTTTGAGAGGCTGAGTCAGGTGGATCACTCGAGGTCTGGAGTTTGAGACCATCCTGACCAACATGGAGAAACCCTATCTCTACTGAAAATATGAAATTAGCTGAATTAGCCAGGTATGGTGGCGCATGCCTGTAATCCCACCCACTTGGGAGACTAAGGCAGGAGAATGGCTTGAATCTAAGAGAAGGAGGTTGCAGTGAGCAGAGATCGCGCCATAGCACTCTAGTCTGGACAACAAGAGTGAAACTTCATCTCAAAGAAAGCAAGCAAGCAAGCTAATAAGCTAACATAAGAAAATATATTAAAATGTGACAAAAATAAAGCAATATGAGGTCTTTTATTTATTAAAAATAATCAAACAAAAAATAACTTTTTAAGTTATAATACCCTGTGCCGGCAAAGGTGCAGTGAAATGAGCATTTTCTTATACTATTAGTGGTGTTTAAATTGTATATAAGCCTTCCAGCGTAAAGCTTGGAAATTTTACAAAAATTGATACAGTTACTCACTATAGAGCCTCCCCCAACTCCTGGCCTCAAGCAATCCTCCCACCTCAGCCTCCCAAAGTGGTGGAATTATAGGCCGACAGCCACCATGCCTGAAAGCTGGGCAATTTACATCAAGTGTAATAAGAATACTAATGCCTTGTGACTCACAGTAGTCTCATTTCTGGAAATATCAACTATGGATATAATTCAACCTGTTTCAAAAGTCACATGCACAAACACAGGAGTAATATTTTTCTCTGTTTTAAAAACATATGGAATGCTTCACAAATTTGCATGTGATTCTTGCACAGAGGCCATGCCAATTTTTCTATTGTTCCAGCTTCAGTATATGTGCTACTGAAGCAAGCATGAGTAATTTAAGATCGAGCGGGTAAGTGAAAGAAGAAAGAGTTATGGGAAATTATAAATCAATGCTATTTATAGGTACCTAGTAACAGCTCAGAATATATTAGCTGCTACTTTTATTCTTTTTATGGTAATTCCACTTCATTAAAAATTGTCATTAAAAATTACCACTGTCATGGAACATCCTGTATTTAACAGTATAATTGTAAAAACAGATAGAGGCCAGGCGCACTGGCTCACAGTTGTAATCCCATCACTGTGAGTCCAAGGTGGGTGGATCACCTGAGGTCGGGAGTTTGAGACCAGCCTGATCAACATGGAGAAACCCCATCTCTACTAAAAAATACAAAATTACTTGCTGGGAAAATCCTTTTGATTTGGGTAATTAAAAAAAAAAAGAAAAGAAAATACAAAATTAGCCGGGCATGGTGGTGCCTGTAATCCAAGCTACTTGGGAGGCTGAGGCAGGAGAATCGCTTGAACCTGGGAGGTGGAGGTTGTGGTGAGCTGAGAGCACACCATTGCTCTCCAGTCTACGCAAAAGAGAGCAAAACTCCATCTTAAAAAAAAAAAAAAAAAAAAAGGCCAGGCACAGTGGCTCACACCTGTAATCCCAACAGTTTGAGTGGCCAAGGCAAGTAGATCACCTGAGGTCAGAAGTTCAAGACTAACCTGACCAACATGGTGAAACCCTGACTCTACAAAAATTAGCTAGGCATGATGGTAGGTACCTGTAATCTTAGCCACTCAGGAAATTGAGGCGGAAGAGTCACTTGAACCCAGGAGGTGGAGGTTGCAGTGAGCTAAGATTGTGCCATTGCACTCCAGCCTGGGCAATAGAGCAAGACGGTCTCAAAAAACAAACAACAACACCAAAAAAAAAAAAAAAAAAAACCAGATACAATTTGTTTCTTGGTGTATGGGGGGATTGGTTCCAGTTCCTCCATTTCTGTGTATACCAAAATCCATGCATATTCAAGTTTTCGAAGTCAGACCTGTGGAATCCACATATAGGAAAAATTAGAAAACTAGTAAACTGTGGTGACAAGCATCTCTAGTTGCAGCTACTTGTGAGGCAGAGGCAGGACTGCTTGAGCCCAGAAGGTTGAAGCTGCAGTGAGCCATAACTGTACCACTGCACTCCCATCTGGGCAACAGAGTGAGACAGAAGGTTGACTTTTTAATAGAATTTTTCTATTCACTTAAAGATATGGTCAGGATGGTGGCAGATGAAAATTCTTCATACAATAATTATCTAATCCAATTAATGCCGAGCACAGACCAGTGATTCAGGGATTACGGGCTCAAGTGCATCCAAAAAGACCCTTCCCACACCAGTCTTCTCAGTGGGCAAATACAGAAGTCACTTAGCTCCCAAGGCATGTGCCTCAGCTGGCATTTTATCACAATCAACAGTAAGTGGTAGCTTGAAACATTATGAGGTTCCTTCCTAAAAATCACCCGCATCCCATTTCCCATTGGCAATGACCTCAACGCTGCCCCTTGGATAATCAAACCTATGCCCAAATCCCATCTGTGTGGGTCTATCTCCTGGGACCCTTCCTAGCATCAATTCTGTATTTGTCAGAGTCCAATCAAAAGACATAAACCACCCAAAGTTTAAAGTGGTAAAATTTAAAATAAAAAATTATTAATTATAACACGGTAGCAGCATAATGAGAAATTAGCTACAAAAGTAGAGAATACTAGAGAACATAGGACTAGCAGAGGCCAGGCCAGGCATGGTGGCTCATGCTTATAATTCCCGCAATTTGGGAAGCCAAGGCAAGAAGATTGCTTGAGGCCAGCAGTTTGAGACCAGCCTGAGAAACACAGTGAGACCTTGTCTCTAAAAAAAAAAAAGGCCAGGTGGCTTATGTCTGCCTACAATCTCAGCACTTTGAGAGGCAGAGGCAGGAGAACCACTTGAGGCCAGGAGTTCGAGACCATCCTGGGCAACATAGCATACTCCCATCTCTACAACAAAAAATAAAAAATTTAGCTTTGTGTGGTGGTGTACGTCTGTAGTCCCAGCTACTTAAGAGGCTGAGGTGGGAAGACTGCATGAGCCCAGGAGCCTGAAGCTAAAGTGAGCCATGATCACACCACCGCAATGCAGCTGAATGACAAAGCGAGACCCTTTTTTAAAAAAGAAAAGAAACACAAGTTTTTATCACTTTGTCAGAGTAACCAAGTTTGAGGAGAAACACAGAACAAAAGAGCACAGAATGGTGAGGGTGGTGGCTGGTTAGCCTCAGTTGCTAGCTAACTGGCCTCTGAAAAATTTGCTGCTAAAACCCCAACTCTGGGGGTCAGCCATGCAGTGAAACGATGAATGCCAAATGCATTACAAACGCTCATCATCTTCCTTTACATGCCTTCCAGTGAAAAATTCCTAAGTGCCTAAATA